AAGAATCTACACAACAACAACAACAACAACAACAACAACAACAACAACAACAACAATGATAATAACAATAATAATAATAATAAAAACAAAAACAATAATAATAACAATAATTAAAGCAGAAAGTAGCGATGTACGGGCCCCTCGCAGTGACGCTGTTCAGGAGTTTTTGAGCATTGACATTCGCTGCATCGCCATGACAACAGTGTTTGACGTCGTCTTTTTCCTGCAGGAATGCTGAACATATGCAGTCGTGGATCACGCGGATCAACGTGGTGGCGGCCATGTTTTCGGCTCCACCGTTCCCGGCGGCCATCGGCTCCCAGAAGAAATTCAGCCGTCCTCTGCTGCCGGGGTCCAACACCAAACTCTCCCAGGTACAGACCCCGAGCCACTACTGAGTGATCTGGATCAGTGAAACCGGATCAGACCAGGAGATTTCAGTCCGTGTTTTAAACCTTTCTGAGCAGTCATCAGGTTCAGTCACTTTTATCGTGTTTTATCGTGTTTTATCGTGTTTTCCCCGACAGGAAGAGCAGGTCAAAACTCATGAGAACCGGTTCAGGGCGGTTTCCTCCGAGCTGGCCGACCTCACGGCCTCCACGCCAGACCGGAAGGTCAAAGGTCGCGAGCTGGAGGAGCAGAAACTCCGACAAGAATACCTGGAGTTCGAGGTGAGGCCTTTGAAAAACATCTTACTCATAACCTTTAATTAATATATATATATAATTAGTGGTTATTGATCTCATCCTAACCAGACTGTTTAACATCAAATGTTCTTTTCATTTTTTTTCCTCCTCTTTTCTCATCTTCCGATGAATTGTGTGATTGCTGCTTGCAAAATAATTCACATTTAACTTAAAGTAGAAGAAACATTTTTGTATGGTGCGTTCCCTGGATGATTATTTTTTTTTCTTTGGTCTGCTGCTTTTGGCTCATATTTTATCTAATCTTCAGCCAATTAGTTTAGTTTAGATGAAGCTGAAGACTTGAACAACCACATTTTGAAGACGAGTCACATTTTCCTTTTTCTCAAAGATGGACTTTAAAAATCTCAGTTTTTGGTTTTACAGTTGTGCAAATGTTTTATTCGGTTTTATATTCCACAGTTGTTTCTCTGCAACAGTGCGAAAAGCTTCAAAGTCACATGTTTTATTCTTCCTCTGTGACCGAGGAGCAGCTGACGGTAAACATGCAGTGAAACCGCTCTGAGGTCTGAATATAAATCACAGACTGAAGTTTTTTTTTTTTTGCAGCTCCTTCTGTCTCAGTTCTGCTCGTCTTCATCACCAACTGTCACTGAATCAGTCTGTCTGGTGTCAAACAGGCTGCAGAGACACAAACAGGAACATGGAGCTCAGTTAAAGGACCAGTCTGCTGTTTACTTTCTCTTCTCGCTCAGTAGTTCTTACATTGAGTCGTTGCTTTTAAGTTCATTTTCTATTCATCAGTAAACTGTTTTTTAAAGATATTTTATTGTGTCATAATTCAGATAAAACGTAAAAAATCTGAAATTGTTTCCTGTTACAGTCAGAAATCTAATAAACAAATAAAAACCGACATAGGGAGTTCAGGAAAATATAGAAAAAACTATTCCTCTACTTAGGTGGGTAAATATTGTTTAAATAACCCTTTGCAAAAACAAAACGTATTTCAAAATAAAAGCATTTACGCTCTCATTTACTCTTGTTACAAAGAGTTTGTGCTGGTCGGAAAATTCTTAATGATTTTGCAAAAATTACATTGCTGATTGCTCATTTCTTACTTTCTGTACAGGCAGAAACAAACATTTGTTTCTACAGTGATGCTGGAGGTGGCTGTTTGTTTGACGTGGGACACCATTCACATTCAAAAAAAATAATTAGTGTATCTGTGATTCAGCTCCAGTCCAAAATGTGATGGGTTCTTCTTTGGTCCATGGTACACTCGTCTACCAGGTTTCATGAAATTCTGTAGTTTTTTCATAAACCAGTTCACAAATAAACCATCAAAGCTACTAATGCCGCCGAAAACAGTGAAAGTATCAAAAGAGCAAAAACATCAGTTTCTTTTAGTTGAATTAATAACAAAACGAAGGCATGAATCTGATCTTACAGATGTGTCTTCTTACAGGGTCCAGGCAGTCACTTGGGTTAGTTGAGCTGAGATCATCACAGCTAACAGACACATACAGCAGAGTGTCGTCTGCATACAGAGTAATAAAATAAGAGTAAGAACCAGGTTCAGCTCCAGAACAGATGGAACGGGGGGCAACCGGTTTTCACGACCAATGGATGAAATGTGTACCAAAGAAAACCCCCAAATTTATTATTTCACCGAATATGGGGGGAAAAGTTTGAGAAGTCCTTATAAAAAAGACTTTACATTAAAACTGTCCACTCTTTCAGCGCTAGGTTAGCATCATTAACCATCGTCTCTCGCCTCCGTCCTCCTTTTACAGAAAACCCGGTACGGTACATACGCCATGCTGCTTCGGGCCAAGCTGTCGAGCGGAGACGAGGACCTGTCGGCCTTTGAGTCGCGACTGTTTGACGATGGCGGCCTGCAGAGGGCGCACTCCAGCCCCACGCTGCCTCAGGACACCGCTGGCAAGGAGAAGACCCGCGGGACCAAGACATCAAAAAGCTTAAAGGTCACGTCCTCTTCGTCCTCGACCTCCAAGACCAGTGACAGCGCTAGAGAGGGAAGCAAGAAGAAGAACGGTGGCGGGAACAACCAGCGGCCGGAGCTGCAGAAACAGAGCAGCAAACAGGAAGAGGCGCCGTAAGGTGGCGGGAATCAGGTTTTCTATAAAGCGTGTGGCTGGAAACGGACATGAAGCATCATGGGCAGCAGGCTGACATCCTCCTTTTAAACCTTTTCTGTTAAACCTCAGTCAGATTCTGATTGACTGAGGGGATTTTCCTCCAGAGCCGAGATGAGACGTTCAAGGTCGGTGGGAAAGGAAACGCTCCTTAGGAAGGAGGACGACTGAACGACCGAGTGGTGCTTTTTCCACAAGACGAAAAATTCAGGAAACACTAATAAGGTTTGAAAAGTGAAAACCACCAATCAGCTGTCAGCGTTTGTTTCTCGTCCAGTAAAAACAGCTGGTGAGTTTCAGAGTAAAAGCTTTATTTCCTGTCAAATCTATTCTTAATTTCAGGGACTTTCTGAAAGCAGTTTTTGTTAAAGTGACTCTTAAATATTAGTAATCATTCAGTCTGGATCTGGATCTGGACCAGGATCTGGATCAGGTTTTGTCAGACAGAAAACAGTTTGTAGGTACTTTTATTTTTCTCCTCGCAGAGTGACAAACACTGACCTCCTGCGCTGCCGTCGCTCTGCTTCTCCTAGCAACAAACGGGGGAGCAGGTTGCCATGCCGACCACATATGACGGACAGAGAGCGTGGGATTGTTGCCAGAGCAACCGAGCAAATGGGGAAGGGGGGGGCTGGAGGGGTGAGACTCTGGAGTCAGGACTCCCCCAGCCAAACAAACAAACAAACACACAGACAGACCAACAGACAGACCAACAGACAGAGGCTGTGATGACGAATGGGAACACAATACCTCCTTCGCACAGTGTGTGTGTGTGTGTGTGTGTGTGTGTGAGTGTGAGTGTGTGAATACAAACCGAACATGCTGGATGGAGGCTGATCAAAGAGTCACTGCAGTTTCTTTTATTCATGTTGTTTTCCTCACCGAGCTCTGCTGGAGCCAACAGGCTGTACGGAGGATCGTTAGTGACCGAGAATTACTGACTGAGCACAAAACAAAACTAATGGAATTGAATCTAAAAGCCGAGTAGAGGGTTGGATATCTTCCAGCTGTTACTGGTGCCGGTTCTTACTGCCTAAAGAGAGCTGAAGTGAAACCAGAACTTTATTCAAACTCCCACTGACATTTTTAACAATAACTCAAAACAGTGACTGTTTAATGTTGTTGTTTATTAACAATCTGTTGCTTTTAACAAACACCATTTCCCATCAGCCCACAGACCTTTGGAAGGTTAATATCACGACTCTACAAATGAGCAAGTGTCTGTGGTTATTTCACTGTCTGTAATTACAGTGGGACAGTGGAGCGTCGGAGTGACAGCTGAAAAATATACAAATAAGAAACATTTATGATGTTGAATTATTATTATTATTATATGAATTATTGTGCAGAGAAAAAAAGAGCAGCACCTCAGGTGGAAACTGGCCTCAAAGTCCACAAGAATCTAATTTATTTTAAGATATCAATAAATAAAATCAACAAAAAAAGACTAATTATGTGATAATAATAAATAATTAAATCGGTAAAACGGCAGATTTCCACAATTTATCGGGTTATACACCAAAATAAACGAGTGACTTGAAAATAATTATCCTTGTGTTTGAAAAGTGAAACAAAAGTGAGTTTTGTGCTCGGTCAGTAGTTTTGTCGTTAATGAACTTCCATAGATTTTCTCTGTTGATGCTGGAAACTGAATCATGTTTGAATCCGTCCACTTTATGTTGATCAGTGTGAGTTTCTACTTCCTCTCTAGTTTCTGTATCTTCTGTTTGTTGGTTTATTCGTGCGGTGAAACAAACTGATGAATCTCCTGATCACTTTCACTGTCAGTCACCACAAGGGGTTTCTGGGTAATGAAGTCCACATGCAGTAACTTCCTGCTGCCACCGGGGGTCACCAGAGTGTGAAGTAGAGTAGAAATACTGTTGTTTGTTACAAATAAAGTGCAAAGTACAAAAGTGCATTCAAGGGAAGTAAAAGTACAAAAGTATCAGCATTAAAATGTATTAAAGTGCCAAAAGTGTTCAGTATGCAGAATTATATTATAATATTGGATTATAATTATTGATGCATTAATTAGTTTAAAGTTACAGCTATGTAATTAATTACTTTACATACTGCTGGATATATTAATCTATAATAAAACATAATTTATCAGTTGATATGTTGTATTAAGAATCTGACAATGGAAAGTTAATAATTAATTAATGTTGTCAGATAAATCTAGTTGAGTATAAATTAAACATTTGAAATACTAGTGGTACCTCAAAACATGAGTAAATGTATTTAGTTACATTCAAAATAATTAGAAGATTTATATAATTAAACCTGTAAAATTAAGAAAAAGACAACTGAACCAACCTTTGAATAGGTCTCTTCCTCTCAAGAACATATAAAACAGATTCCTGAACCGATGTAGTGACAGGAAACGGTCACCAGGTGGCAGCAGAGAGAAGCTGTTTGTTGCCTCTTCAGGACTCTGAGGAGGTTTGATTGTTTCCAGAAGTGACTCCAACAACAACCACTGTTCTGTGATCAGTTCCTCTTCCGATTTCTGTTTGATTGACAGGCTTGTGATCAGGAACACTAAAAGCTGGAACATTTTTAAACAATAATCAGTGTTTCCAGATTCCCCCAAAACACTGACGGAAAACTTGAAGATTTGGGAGGAAAGAAGGACGTTTTTCAGATTTGATGTTTGATTTTTGATGAGAACAACCGTGAGAAGTTGTTCAGCTGGGAGCTTCCACACAGAGATCAGGGGTGTGATTTGTGAAGGATTACAAACAGTGAAGCTGCTGTTAAAAACACAGATTGTCCTCCAGGAATTAGTCCTGTACAGCTCTCACAGGAATAAACAGAAGATTTTCTCTTTGGACCGTTTGTGGACCACTGTGACTGTAAAGACACTTAAAACATCACCACAGAGGACTTCAGAAACCACAGATTTCAAAGGTACTTACAGTTTTAACTTCGTGGTCAGAAGACATCGTTTTCCTGAGATTAAATTCAGAAATTCGTTTCTCGACACGCCGCGTGATAACCGCAATCCTCCATTGTATGTTCCACCGTTCGATCTGGATCCCAGTCCTCAAACCTGGTTTTGAGTGAGTTTCTGGCACCGTTGTCGTCTACTCCCGCAGACGTAGGACAGTCTGGAGGTTGAAGTCGGGCGCCTTGAACCGCTGTTCCTTTGTCCTGAGGGAAGTCTTCTCCTGTCCCGCAGGTGCAAAGACATTATTTGTCTAGAAAGACGCTTTAATCTTCTTCTCAACCTAATTAATGACTCCGTCTCCTTCTGGTGGGTCGGCCTGTGGATCTGCAATAATCTGGTGATACGATAAGTATCAGGATACTGAGGTTAATATACAGCGATCATCGACATATAGAAAGACTGATGATATGAGAGCTCCGCAACACTAAAGCCAAACGCTCTCTATGTCCCCCTGGTGGCTGACTGCAGTATAACTCATAAACCCGCCATATTAGCAGATGGAAGATGGAAGCTGTTTGAGTCAGCAGGGCATGTAGGTGAGACCTTGAATGACGGAGATGTCCATCTTTTATATGTCTACGATTGATACCGATAATGCGATACCATAAGCAAGGCGATGCCCAGCGTAGGGTTGATACAGATGTGGTTGGCTTCGGCCTTAAGAGGGAAAACACAAATTGATTAAATGTCACCAAAAAAAGTTTTGCAATATGATATTTTTTTTATATTTTCTTACTGTAGGCGGATATGAGTTAAGTCCCAGAACCTGCAGTGTATTTTTTTGACCGTCCGCTCCCAGATTTGCTTTGAGTCTTTGATCCCGAACCCAATTCAGTCCCCTACTTCAGACTAGAGTTGATAAGATACCAGTATCGGAAATTCCTCCAATACGGTCTTAATACAGTATCTGTAAGTCTGAGTCATTTTTTAGTCCCCAATCGGGACCTGGTTACTTCCCAACAGCGTCCTGTTCACCAGTTTTTCCCTCTGAATCCACTCCGACAGGGTTTTACTCAACCCAAGCCATATAACAACAATATAATCATACAGGCTCAGTCATGTATGCTAGTTAATAATTCTATATTTGTATTTAACAGACTTATATCAGATCGGTACTCTGTATCGTCGGTACGTAAAGTTCACGTATCATAATCGTAATTAGAAAGGAAAAAATGATATTGGAACATTTGCGTTGGATCCCAATGAAGTCCTCTGGTTCAGACCCAGAACACACTGTACAGACTGCATATCCCATCAGGCCTTGCACTGCTTCAAGATCCCTCAGAAAGACGTCTCTGAGGAGCATGAAGCTTTCTGTTCTCAGCTGTGTTGGACAGTTGCATGAAGTCGCTCAACAACGTGTTCACATTCATCGTTTTTCTCCCTTGCGTCCTGTTAGCTCGTAAAGAAAAGTCGCACCACCGACAGCGACGATCAGCTCGTCCTCCATTTTGTTCTGGAAGGTAGTTGAGATGACTCGATCAAAACCAGCTGACTAGTTGCATCACGAATCTGAACCTCTTTCACTTCCCTGACGTCGGGCTGTGGAGGAATTTCCAGTGTTTGCGTCTCTGGCGAGTAAGAGTCTGTGGTTCCACAAGTACCTTTGAAATCAGGACCGGACTTTGTTGCATCAAGAGCTCTGTGGTTTATTTAACAGCAGTGAAGATCTGACAACATCCGTCCTTCAGCCTCTTTTCTTCGTCTGCTGGTTGACGCTATCGGGTCAGCTGCTGCTGAGACGCTAACAGACGACAGGGTTCAGATCCTCCCGCTGTGCTGTTCGACCCCCGCAGGGTCCTATTTACTCCCTCAAATATCCAGTAACACTTGTGTATTTCGGGTGTATTTGTCGCACTGTGCAATGTAAAGCAGCATAGGATGAATTTATCTAAAAGTCATGGCCGCTTTCAGCTCTTCGTCTGTGTCCGAAACTTGTAAATAAACATTGAGAAGCCATATTGTAGTTGGGCTAAACGCCTAGCTAGCGCTCGCTGCGGTTTTTAGGGCACTTTGATTTAGATATTTTAGAGTGAAAGCTGTTAAACCTCCTCTGAGGAGTTTGAATCCACCAGTTTATTTATTCTGTTCATCAAAGGCTGGATTTAGTTTCTGTGAAAGTTTTTTGTTTTGTTTCTTTCGGCTTCGCTGCGGCCTGAATGTCGGCCGCTGGCCCGCCGATCGATAGCTGTACATACTGTCCACTTCCTGTGAGGTCGTAGTGAAACATGTTTTGAAGGCTTAGAGGCAAAAATAAAAACATTTTGAAAAGAAAACTGGAAATTCTGAGAGTTGTTTTTATTCAGAGTTTCAGAAACCTCGACATTCGCTAAAGTTCGTTAAACGCTGATTAAATATTTTATTTCCAGGCTGTTTGGTTAAGAAGAGAAACCACAAGAATACACAGTATTAGTAAAAACACACACAGCCGCCACAGAAGAGAGAAACAGGAACTAACGGAGGAGGAAGGATGATTGATCCTCATCGATTAACATTCTGGTAAAGTTGCACACACCACAAACTAAACTCTACGTCTCCAGAGAGAAACGTAAAACTTTTATACTCAAATGTTTGTCGTTCTGATTTAAATCAGTTATTATGACTTCTTTAGAGATACACTGTAAAACCTGATGAGTTAGTTCAAATCAAACTGTTGAAACATTAAAACATATTTAAGTATTTATTTAGTTAATTGATTCCATTCAGTTAATTGAAGTTACTCATGCAGAATTTATACAAACTGATTTAAAATGTGTTCACTCAATAAACTGATTATTAAAATGGACAATTTAACATGTTTATTTATGATAGTGATAAACATAAAATCTTTGCACTTTGGGGGATCAATAAGAATTATTTGGATGCATAATTGGGCTTTTGATGATTAATAAACTGAATGTTTACAGTTTTATAACATTATAAAGTCGAGTCAATGGAACAAACTGGAATTACCAATAATTAAAATACTGAACACATTCAAGTTCACACAAAACAACTGAGTTGCTTCAACAATTAATTTTTGAGTTGGTTTAATTAAAGTGAATGAATGAGGATTAATTTGTGTTAATTTACTTATTTTATTAAGATGTCAGGTTTTACAGTGTATGTAAACATATTTGACCAGCTCAAAAAACCATAACTTAGACTTTGAGTAAACATTTAAATAATGTTGACCTAAAAACATTTTTTAATAATTTTGAGTGTTTGAATATATCAAACGTTTGACATTTAAAGCAAAACTATTTAATAATTTATCACAAGCTTTTACTGACAATATTATTTTTTTAAATGTCATTTTGTAACATTTAAAATCTTTTTCTTCCGTAAATAGCTTCAATGTGACTGAATGGAGAGAAAAAGGTTTTGATAAACTGATAACAGGTGAGTGAACAGGTGAGCTCTGACACTCAACGTGCTGCGTTCCAGTCCGGGCAGAAAATTGGAAATTCCGCTTTCCTACTAAATGAAAAAAGCAGATCTGCTCCCAACGACACGACAAACCTTCGTAAACAGATTTACAGCAAACTTTCATCCTCAAATTCACTTTCTTGGATCAATAATAAAATGTTTGACAGATAATTGATCATAAAAAAAGAAAAATTAAGGACTTTTAAGGTGAAATTCAAGGATCGTCCATCAGACGTCACACAGAAATAAACTCATTTCATAAAAACTAAATTACAAGAAAAACAAAATATAAATTAAAAAAAAGACAAATTTTATGATTTAAAAAGAGAAAAAACACTTTTATGATGCAGTCGTTCGTTCTAAACACTTCAGTTCATTTTTTAAAACTCTTTTTGGTAAAATTTCCGGTGACTTCCTGTTGTGAATTTACAATCTCGGCTTCCGTCTGGAACGCAGCTCCTCGTCTCCGAGAGAGTCCGAGCAGAAACTCAGTCGGTCTGCGAGTCCGACTCCAGTTCTGCAGAGTCCTGGTTCCTGCAGGATGAAGGTCTCACTTCCTGCTCGTCACTGATTGGCCACAGGCGGCTCCTCCTCCTCCATTGGCTGGCTGCCGAAGCCGCTGTCGACCGTGGCGTCTGATTGGACAGAAAAACATGAGTCAGGTGAGCTGGAATCCAACAGAACTTTATTTATAAATCCTGTGGAGACAAACAGGAGCTCACGGAGTCTTTAGACGGACTCATTAATTCTTTCATTACAGTTTATCTGCTGGGTTTCAGCGTAGACGAAAGTAAAGCGAAGTTCAAATGTCCTGTTTCATTGTCTATAATATATGTATAGTCTCTTACCTGTGCTGTGTTTGTCGTCTCGTAGTTCGGTGTTTCTCAGCAGTCGGACTCCTTCTGTCAGACCGAGAGACTGAAGAGCTTCAACCAGACCTTCAACTGGACCTCCACCCAGCTGGAGACAAACAGACATTAGAGAGACACTAGAGAGACGTCAGAGAGAGACAGACCAGTAGAGGCGTTACCTTGTAGTGCTGCAGCAGGTGGTGGCAGGGCGTCGGACTGTCCAGGTACAGGTGAGTCAGCGTCATCATCCCCAGCTTCTCCGCCAGTTTCCTCCAGGGAACGTCTCCGACACTCAACACCTCCACCAGCCGGGACAGAGTGTCCTCGTCCAGCCCCGACGCCTCCGTCTCTGCAACATCAACACAGGTTTGTTTTTTATTTCACTGCGTGTTTGAACTCTATTTCTGACCTCCAGACTGTGGACAGGTGGGACAGGTGGGACAGGTGGGACAGGTGGAGTGAGACAGCTAATAGATCACAAACCTTCAGTGCTGCTTGGTTTCATCTTCTTACTGCTGTGACGACTCGACTTCGGACTCTGTCGGGAGTTTAACAGGTTCCTCACCTGAGAGGAGATGAGGAGGTTAAAGTTGCTGCTCGGCCAATCAGAAAACAGAAACACTGCTTTACGTGTGAATATGGAGCCAGCCTCTAGTGGCCGATTGAGGGAACTGCAGGTTCATCTGCAGCCACAGAGGTTCCCGCTTGATTTCTTAAGTTAGCTCATTAGCTAATGACATTAATCGTTAGCCAGCTAATGTTAACTCTGAAAACTAGTGCAAAACAGTTGCTAACTAGCTTTGCTAACAGGAGAGAACTTGTGGCTATAGCACGTAGCATATCTAAGTACATGAAAGAAGGAAGTTGACTGAAGTCTGTTCAACTGTTATTGGATCATTAAGCAAAAGGGGGCGGGGCTTAGGAAGGATCAATATCAACAGAAGTTGGACATCTTTGTTTGTATTGATTCTACAGTGCCTTTTATTTTGAAGGGTCACCTTTTGACACTTGGCGAGGTCCAGGGGGGTGTGTCCTGCCGCGGGTCTCTTCCGAGTGTTGATTGGCTGAGCTGCGGCCTCTCGCTCTTTGGCCTCCTCTCTGATTGGTTCGTCTTCGTCCTGCTCTTCGTCTGAAGAGGAGCTGAAGAAGAGCGGCTCGTCGTTCTCCATGTTCTTATCAGCACCTGAGGACAGCCTTCAGTTCGTCACTGTGTCTTTATTTTACACTGAAATACTCAACGTTCCTACATTTAACGGACGAAGAGTTTTACCAAAGTTATTATAGTCAACTCAAACTAAAACTAGCATTAACATTAACATTTTAATGCTAACTGAAATAAAAAATAGACTAAACAAAAAAGAATGTTATTGTGTAAAATGAAACAAAACTATAAAGGAAGTTTTAAAACTATAATAATAACTCTGTTGTTTTGTCGTTTCGTTGCTTCCGTACTTTTCTGCCTTCAGTGTGTTTTACCTGCAGCGACGAGCATGGAGCAGAGCGTCGGCGAGCCCAGACTGGCCGCCAGGTGGAGCGGAGTGTTTCCTCCGAACGTGCACGCGTTGACGTCGGCCTTCAGCTGTAAACGACACAAACACAGTGAGTGACGACGCCGTGATGTCACTGCGAGCAGGTGCACAGGTGAGCTGCGTGTGCGTCGTACCTCTGTGATGAGAGTGCAGGCCATCTTGAACAGGTTTTCTCTGACAGCCAGGTGGAGGGCGGTGTTTCCACTCTTCTGCTCAGGCGCGTTGATTTTGGCTCCGCCCTCCACGAGCAGACGGAGGCAGCGCTCGCCGTCCTTCCTCACCGCCAGGTGGAGAGGATGAAGACCTGAGACAGAGGGAGGTAAGATAAGTTCTCTCAGAGTTCGCTTCCTGCTTATTAATATCTGTATGAGGGTGAACAGGTTCGCTCACCGTGGTAGTCAGGGGTGTTGACCAGGTGGGCGTGGCGTTCTCCCAGGTGTGCCAGCAGGGGGCGGAGTGAGGCGTGGTCTCCAGCCAGTGCCGCCAGGTGGATGGGACTGCGGCCATCTTTGTCGAGCAGGCTGGGGTCGGCCCCCGCCCTCAGCAATGCCTCCACCACCTTCACCTGCCGGGTGATCACCGCCAGGTGGAGAGGAGTCTGCAGAGGCAACGGGGGGGGGGGGGCAGTTAGGGGGCAGTTAGCTACAGCAGATACCTGTGTGCTAGTGGTTAGCTATGTTGTGATTAGAGGTGAATTAGCTTCGTTGATGTTAGAAATAGTTCGCTGTTGTAATGAATTAGCTACCTGTCGAAGGTGGTTGGCTGTGTTGAGGATGTTTTGCTGCTGGCTGCTGAGCAGAGTGTGGATCAGTTGCTGGATCACACCAGTCTGCTGGTGGATGATGGCCAGGTGCAAAGGACTGTGGGAAAACAAAAAACACATCAAATCTCTGCAAAGCAAAGTCTTAAAATGATCAAATGTTCAGATGATGATGTTGTTGATGTTGTT